GCAGTTGAAGTAGTTGGTGAAATTGCTTGAAAACTCCAAACCCGTCTGCTTGGCAACTTAAGCAGGTGGTCATGTATATCTGGTTCGGCACTTCATTGAAAAGAAAATATATATGCAGTTCTATTTCCTGATACTCAAAGCTATTGGTCTTCCTTAACTATGAATTCATAGAACATCTGTGTTGCTTGATAACAACAAAAATTGTCAGTCAGTGTGAATATCTCTCAAGCACAGGGACAGAAATTTAGAAGAACTTTGACTGAAAATTCAGAAAAAAGGTCATGAAGGGTTACACAGACCTGTGATATATTCATATCTGATAAATGTAGAATGTGTTGCAGGCCTCCTTCAACAGACGATGCACATCATTGAAGCACATGCAGAGATACAAATTTAAAAATAAGCAATCTGTAAACTGCTCAAGCTATTTACAAAAATTACTGTTGGAAAGATAGAAAGAAATGTTGCTTTAATTTGCAAGTACTCGGGAGACTCCTGTGCTATGACAACTTAGAATTTTTAAGCATGTAGACAGAAAGAACTTGCTTTCTGGCCCCCAGTGGATCTTTTCTGGCCTTAAGGCATTTTATTGAACCTTAGGTTTTCTCATAGATAATATTCCTCTGTAGTTTGTTAAGCTTCACCCTGGAATATATTGTATTAGAACTGTACTGCTGGTAGCGTATATGCTGGTGTTCTTTGATTGCTTTCAAAATTTGCCCCTATTTCTTTTTCCCTGGGGTGCACTTTCCCTGTAAACTGAAATATTGTGTCTTGGAAATACTTGTTTTGTCAGGCATGAGAGATCACTTTTCTCCTTTCTATTCCTGATGGCTAGTAAAGCTCTATATTGTGGAGAAGATATTTCCGGCAAATTTGTCAGGAAAATAAGTTGCAGATTTGCACACCAGTATTAAGCTTTATTCATGTAGATTTCTCAGTCCATAAACTGTTTGAATGGCTGTCCCAGATGAAAGGCGATGCCTTTAATATTGAGGCCTTTGATCTCTTCTGCGTCCTAATTATCAGTTTTGGCTTTCATTGTGCTATTCCTTTTGTTCCACTGTTGGATGTTTTCCAGTTTTTTCATTTTAATTCTTTTCCCTGGTATTTCCCTGGTATTAATTCTTAGAAATTATTTTTATGTGACTAACTTTAAGTATTACATTATTGTCATGCTAACTTGGCTTACATTATGATACTGTAAAATCATCAGCAGAACCCCTTTCCATTACATCATTGTTATCCTGTTACGCACAATAAATTTTAATGGCTCTTGAAGGTACACTCATTTCTGCCCAAAAATGTTATTTCACAATTGCTTTCTTTCCATTTAGAGATGGACTAGTTGAATGGTGGGCACCCTGTTGGAGACTAATACACAAAGTGTGACAACTACCTTTCCATAAACCTTCCTCCGTAGAACAAGGGGAAAGTAAACCAGAACCAGAAAGCTTTCTTGTGATTAGCCAGTTTCTTATTCCTGAATCCTTTTGCTATAGGATGATTTATACTACAGATCCATATTTTAAAACCTCCAGATTATTTCCATAATGTGGAAGAATTGCTATAGGAGGAAAGTTTCTGACCCTGTTACCCACAGCATTTGTGCTGCTTTTACCTGAAGCAGTAAAATTTGAATTTTCACAATTATTAAATGTTGGCTAAGGAGGGGAGAGCACAGTGACGAGAGACAAATTTTTCAGGACAGACTTGTATGAAACAGAGAAGGCCTTATTGGTTAGGATTAAAAGAATTCATTCCTATGAAGAGACAAATACTTGAATCTAGTGACCACAGATGTTTGGAAAATAATCTGAAAGTATAAATCTTTAAAAGGCATGTTCATCTGATAATAGCACTTCAGTCCCTGCACCTGGAAGCATTCTCAAGAATAAGAGGGAAGGCAACCAGAAATATTATAACTGGCATGTCTTCTCAACACAAGGTCTGGTTTCCCAGACTTTGCCCCTCCACAGTTCAAGGAAGGCTCTGAGAAGAGATGAAGTGGGACTCCAGGTGGGCAGTAGGAAGAGAAGGAGCAGAGGGGTTTCCTGCTTGCCCTTAGAGAAACGTGCAAACTTAAGTGGAAGCACCTCTGTCCTTATTTCAGACTAGGCTTCTGCTGCTGTCAGACCAACTCTCTCTCAGACCCCTCTCCCTGTGTTAGCACTGCACAGCATTGCACTTAGTTGCAACTACTGACACTTTCCAAGCAAAGTCTCAAGACTCACCTGAAGCCCTCTTTTTCTTACAGGCGAATCACAGTCTTTGGCTTTTCGCTTGCAGTTGAACTCCCTCAGAAGAGGGTCATCTTGAACAACGTTTTGTCATTGTTTCATGTATAGCTGCAATCCTGTTTTCTACCGTGTTGACAGCTTGCTGGCCTCATTAAACACATTCCAAGATTGATTTTCTTTACAATTTCTGTGCTAGGGGTTTCTTTAGTCCTACAGGTATCATGTTAAAACAGATCAATTCCACCGTACTGCATAGGGTAAAATAACTAGGGAGTAGAAAGCTTCTCTTCCTTCAGTATAAGCAGTTTAGTCACGTGTGTTGGCCTTTTCCCCTTAATGTGCTGATAGGACTTTAATAGCTGAGGTAGTGTTTCTTCAACATAATTAAAGCAGTTTTAGTTTCTTTCTGCATTTGTGCTTCCTGTTGCCTCTTCAAGCTGCAGGCCCCTTGTCAACCATCAAACTCTGCTCTCTCACTCTCTCTGTGTCTCCCTGGAGTTATATTTGAGACTGCTTTTGAAATCTGCTCTCAGAGGCTTCGTACTAAAGGGAAAAGGTGGGAATGTTTTTGGAAATTTTTTTAGTTCAATAAATTTAGCTTCATAGGTCAAAAGTCTTCTTAATTCTCGCAAAAATGCATGTTTACATATTTGGAGGCATACTAGCTATGCCAGTTGTATCTCAGTGTGATGGTCTGCCATAAATTTCAAGGAACACTTTTCAGCTATGGTAACTTGAATGAGCAATCATGAATCTAAAATGCTCCTTTTCAGCCCTTTGGGAGATAACCAAAGTAACAAAAAGAAAACGCAAGTTAGCTTGGTCTTTTTATATCTTTTATGTTTTGTTATTCTTCTTATAGCTTTACTTTATGTTTCCTACATGCTGATTTTCTTGATTCCAGGTTCTCTGTCTGAAGTATTATTTTGTGATTAACAAGGGTCTTTTAATGAGTTAATTCCAATCAGTAACAATCCACTCTTACAACTGTTTATCAACTGTGATATCCAAACTTGAATTTGGAGACAGGTCCATACCTCTGTGTATTCATACCTGTATGTATTACATATCATACATTTGATGAAATTGGGACTCTGTTACTGACTAATAGAGAATGTGAGGTGTAACCAAAGCATCTACAATCCTTTGCGCCTCAGCAGTTTTCCCCTGAGTAGGACTGTCATAATAACTGTTTCCCTACACCTTTTTTTCCCATAAAAAAGAGCAGTTACTAACTGCATATGCCTGAGAAAATTTGGAAATGAACAATAATACGAACTTTTCCCTTCACAAACCTTACCTCATGCAGCCAGCTGAGAACAGTAAGAGTGTGTTGGGTAATTGGCTCTCCTGCCTCCAGTGTTTTTAATTGCCTGAATATACAATCAGCTCAAGGTACATTTCTTGTGCTCTAATGAATTTTAACATAAAGGTTTATTTCCAGATGGATCAGCACTGGAGGAGCTTTTGTCTGTCTTATAAATATAATTTAAATTAACACATTGATACCAAAAACCTTGCCACCCAAGAATTTAAACATACAATTTATTATGTAATTGTATGCTTATTTTATCTGTGGACATCAAGGCGGCTTTTGAAAAAAAAAAGCAGCATTCCCTAGAGTTTCTTTGTATTATGGTACTAAGTTGACATTAATTCAGGAACTGTTGTAATTTAGATAAAGTTCAAAATATGTCATTTCAGGGTGAAAGAAGCTTATTTAAACCTTCTCTAATTTTTAATTCACTCTTTGCATTTATTTGTGACTTGAAAAAACAAGCAAATGAAGCTTTTCTTTCCTGACACAGTCTTTTGGATTAGTCACCTATATGAATGCAATATGAGGATTTTTTAAGGCATGTCATTTCTCAGCTGAAAAAGTCCCACCTAGTTGCACTGTAAAAGTGAGCACAGCACAGTTCATAGAGTATATATGAACATTTTCATTAATGTTGCTGCCAGAGTAAATATGCAACAGTTCTGACATACCTCTACAGTCCATATTTATAGAAGGTATAGAAACAAATTAGTATGTTGGATGTTTGGGTTTGCACCTGCTTCTGATGTAGCTGTGACTTTGACTATGTCATTTAACTTCTACATACAGCTATTGTCCCACTTATGAAGAGAGATAATAATGGCTTCCTTCAGATGGAAGTTAAAATGTTTGTAGAGCATGCAAGCTCTTGAGGAGAAGGAAATTCTACACCAGAATTATGAGAGACAGTGCAGACATCTGTTGTGGCACTGCTGTGGGCTCTGTTTGTTGTCCTGACCCACATCAATCTGCTGTATGAACTTGGCACCAAGAGCCAAGTAACTTAAACTTCACTAAATAAAGCAGTAATAATAGTATTTACACATGTCTGTCAAAAATTTTTGTACCTGCATATGCAGTGAACTCAGCGACTTGTAGGATCCATATATTTTTGTGATTGAAGACTACACCATTTTGCTTCTGTCCCCACCCCTCGTAACTGTGAATGAATAGTCATAATCAGAATTGCAGTCTGCATCTACAGATACGTTTTGATTCATTTAATAGTCTTCAATTTAATTTCAGTCAGGTTTCATTGCAGCACAAGATCTTAAATCACAGTCTATTCCATCTACCTGTTCAAGATTGTAGGAGGTCATGGTGGCTTACATTCAAACTAGAAGGTCTGATTTTAGTCAACTGCCTCTGATAACTGTGCATCATTTCTGTATTGTTGTAAATGTTTATTTGTCTGAGATACTACTGCATGTGCTGTATTTCAGGAAAAGCAGAGATTTCTGACAGATGTCCTGCATGAAGTGATGTTGCTGGATGGTTTGGCAAGTTCACATCCAGTATCCCAGGAGGTGCAGCAAGCCACAGACATTGACAGGGTGTTTGACTGGATTGCCTATAAAAAGGTGAGACTAATTAAACTTATCTATCTCTGTATATAGATCTGTCAGTAGCTATTAGAATATCATGTTCTGTCTGTAAAACAATTACCATCATAAAAATATGTACATTACAGCAGCTGCTGGTTGGGAAGCTTTAATTTGTGTGGAATATATTTGGAATATACGACGGTGATTTTAGCCAATTACATTCAACACATCCAGTGTTATTAAATGTTATAAATAAACTTGGGAGGTTGTCAGAATTCAGCAAGAAAGTAGGGGTTATTTATTATTATTTATTTTGTGGCAGTGTCTGAATTGTGTTAGATGTTTTAAAAAGCAGAAGGATATGCAGTCTTTGTCCTGCTGAAACTCTCTAGAAAATTTGACAAGTGCTAAAGTTAAATGCAAAGGGTTTTTTTCTGCTTTTTTCTATGCATGATAATTTTTCTATCATCTAGTGAAAACTCTGAAGTCATCACTGAACAGTGAGAGCATAGGAACTGCCTTTTGGGGTGATGAAAGAATATGTGTTAAATCCAGGCAATTTCAAATTGCATTTCAGTGAACAGAAAGACTTTTGCCAGTTTTGGGACTGAATAGTTTCTGTGCGGGAGCGAGATGTTGCGCACTTCCACCTTCTCTATCATATGACTGGTCTTGCTGTTAGCATACGGCCCAGAAGCTGGTGGTTTCCATCATGCCACATGATTATCCTCTGCTACATGGGATGATATGTAATACTGTGCCTTGATATCATGACCAAACAAACATGCTTGATGTGTGACACAGGGGCTGCTGACTGCAAGCCTTCCTCTGTGAAGGTTGTGCTGGAGCTCTCTGCTGTCCATTCAGTTACAAGAGTATTTTGACTATCACCTTTGCATTTGATAATCTTTTCTTCTGCGTGATTAGCTGCCTAACATCAGACTATAAGAAGACAGCAGCAGCACAGCACTAACTTGCCTACCGAGCCTTCAGTTTATCTAGTGCTCACCCTGGGCTAAAAAAGAGGTGTATCCTTTTACAGTCATCAGTTATTCCCAGCAGTAACTTCAACTTGATCTTCTTCCATGAGAGGATCTTATGCCTTTAAGAGTGAAATGAGAGTGTGTGTGTTTATGTCCATGTAGTAGGTATAGAATATAATATGCAAACACAGGATACTTAGGAAAATACTTTAAAATGCTGGAGTTGCTCAAGAGCCCAAGTAACATTTTCAACAATGCCTTAACTGGCTTTGAAAACATTACTCTTGGTCAATTAAGCTATAAAAGCCAGAAGCTTTTAACATGCAGAAGTATTCGCATTGTTTAAATGTTTCAGTTATATGTTTTGCTGCTGATAGTTGAACCTCGGTAGATTCAGAGACTTATCTCACATCAGTATCTTAATATTTCAAGCTAATTATTTTTTCTATTTAATATGATAATAGTAATATCACACAGTAAACAGTAATACTTGACAGTTATCTTTTCATCTTGTAAACACTCTGCAAGCATTAAGTAATCTTCATTTACATTGAAATGACAAATAGGACAGTAGGGCATATCTGTATACTGTTGGCTACTGTTCAGGCTAACAGGATCACTCTGTTTTCTGTGCAGATTAGAGTACAGTCTCTATTTTGTATCTGTCCATTTCAAGGTTCCTCTTTCAGTGTAACAGTGGCCGTGCCCAGTGGATACGGCAGCGTCTCCACTCACCTTCTCTGATGGCCAACTCTCCCAAACCCTAGGTGACACTGACCTGTGTTCATAGCAGGGCCTGATCCTGCAAATTTGAACGCAGTTACCAGATCTAGCAAACCACCCTGAGGAATGGTAATGGAAGAATGAATGTACTTACACACTTTCACAGGTGAGGAGGTTAAAAGACCCATTCTTTCACCCATGAAGTTTTTGTTTTCCTGTCTGATGTTGTCTGTCTGCTGCTCTCTGTAACCATTTGTCCTTTTGTTTTAGATATAAGCAATCCAACAGGAAGAAATTTACCTACTGATTTCATAGCTGCTCTTTTCACTGTTTCTGTAAGTTTCTCCAAGCACCTGACACTGTTTCCCTGAGGATAAACTAGAACAAATAAAACACTTTTACATTGTTTCAGCCCTTTGTAACCTTGTATGTGTGCATGCCTAGCTTGCACTTAAAATCTACTAGGGAGACAAGCTCATTTTTTAGATAGCTGGAATATTTGCCTCTCCTTCTAGCTCTCTAGTGTCTGCCAATATAAATACTGTGATGAATGGTATGTCAGTAAAGTCCAAACTATAAAATCACACTGAAGGCTTTTACCTGGTCAGGTGTGTGCTCAGATATTTTTGGGTGCCTCAAAGGCTGCCTTACACAATGAGCCCTGCTGAGGGGATAGTGTTGCTGGTGTTTCTGTGATGGCTTTTTGATTGTTTGCTGACTGATTTTCCTAAACTCCTATCAAGTATTAAGTTCTTGGCAGTTTTTTCTGTTGACTCTAGTAAACTTTGGATCAGGATCACCAGTGAGGACTTTTCTACTGTTTTAAATAAAATGTTAATTTTTAAATAGTCAGCACTATGTGCAGTATCTTTTCCCTACATTTTGGTATGTTTTTTTTGCATTCTCTTATAATTTTTTTAAAAATATCCGCCTTGTGCTCCCTGGAACCTTGGATTGTCCATGTGATCTCTTTCTTCACAATTTTCTGCACGATACTGAAATGATGAAACTTTCTCCCATTTAATTTTTGTTCAGTGAAATGACAGTTATAGAATGTCATTGTCATTTCATTGTCTTTACTGTCATCACTACGGCATAAATCAATTAGATGCCATTAAAGTGCCCATCTCTGCTAGACACTCAACTGTCATTTTAAAGATATGCCTCTTTCTATACACTTCAGAGATGACCACTAAAACTGTGCTATTTAAATGCCTCAGAGCAGAATATATTTTTCATTTCCACTTTTCTTGTCTTTGGTGATTGCACATGTTAAGAAATTGCATGACATAAACCCCTGAAGAATGGTATTCAGGTAATCACACAAACAGTGAAACAGACACTACAGCCCTGCAGCACACAATGTTTTTCCACTAAGCTGTTGAGGGTAATGTTTGCCTCTTTCAAAAGCATCATACTAGTCATTCTTCATATAGGAGCGTGTCATCCTCCACTAAGGCCACAAATATGTAGAGAAGAATGAGAAGTCGTGATAGTTCATTAATAAACAGTACTGGTAGATGATTCAAGGCTCTCAAGTTACATCAGAGAGTAGGTATGTCTTTCTAGTGCAGCTGGAAGTGAGATAGTGTCCTCCCACGATGATGGGAAAAGTGGTTATATCCCAAGTGCAGTAGGAAATATAGCCCGTTGAACACAATAGTGGATCTGAGAATTGTTAAATCAAAGCAAAAAGCATGACAGCCTTTCCACACCAGAAATAACTGACAGCAGGAATCATAGCCCTGGAGAGCTGCATCAAGAGAGGAGGAGAGAGTGCAGCAAGAATAACATGAGGAGCAACAATCAGCAAGGAACAACCAGCTGTAATAGAATGGAGAAACAAGACAGCTGCATCTCAGAGGGAGCAGCCAGACCCAGAACAGCATGAGAAAGAGAGAGATCCCAGACAGAACTAAAGGAGTCATAGCCCTAGATGAGCAGTCACAGACAGATAAGAGGAGGGATGAAAGGGCACCAAGGACACTGTAGAGAGCCAGATAATATCTGAAGTAATTTCCGTAAGCCTGCTACATGCTTTGAAGTGTGGTGGTTGACGATTCTGACAACAGTCAGAGCAGGCAAGACCAGTATGATGGAGTGTAACTATAAAAGTACCCCCAGTAGAATATGTCTTGGCAAGTGACAAACAATAATCAAAACAGAGAAGAGGATGACTGGAATAGGGAAGTATATTCCTTTTTTCCTCTCCCTGTAAACAAAATTAACCTCAGCAGTGATACCAGTTACTGGTCCTGGCTTTGTAATGCAAACAATTTGTTATTTCCTAAACCTTTGTATGTATAATTTCCTTTTCCTTCTTAACTCTATGCCTCTTCTTTAAAAATGCCTTTTCTTGCTTTGTGTTGAGTGATGGAATGATTTCTAACAGTAGTATAAGGAGACCATGCTCCCTGCCTCCCCTCAAAGGCAATGTTCTGCATTAGGAAATCTGTTCAACTGAAAATTTGCACAAGGAAAAATGCTCAGCTTCCTTCTATGTTGTAATAACAGTTCTGGCAAAGGAGAATGTAAAAATAAAGCAGTGGCTTGCTCTCCCTTTTGAGTGTAATTCTCTCTGAAAATTTACAGCATAATATGTTCTGTAAGAATGTGGAGGAGCAGGAGGGCTAACTGCAGTCACTGGAAAGGCTCTCTAAAAACTTTGTGCCTTTTACTTCTGTTCTTTGGGCACCAGGAACGACACTGGCACTGTAATAAAAAAATAAAACAACCCCCAAAACATGTATTCTGCCCAGTAAAACTGGGATTAGTATCAGAGTGAAATCCACTCAGTTCATGACTGCAGTGAAGTTGTGACAGTGTGCATTTATGAATTGACCACAGAAAAGTGAGACCAGCTCATTAACAGTGAAAGAAATACTAGATAAATACTTAGAAGTAGTAAAATAGGTTTTATTTTTAATTATTTACTTAACTAAATCAATAACATAAGATGGTATTCAGTTAGTTAAAAGTCTTACAACACAATACAGGTGGCTTTATGCTCCTTTACTGCAGTGTAAAGAGAGAGCTTTTTGTTCTCCCTGACTAATTTAGCTGTGATGTTGTCTGTGAATTCCATTAAGTCCTGGGTGTGCCTTTGTGTGATGCTGGTTTCTGTTCCATGATCTGTGAGTGCAGCAGGTCAGTGCCCAGATTGCAGAAGGTGCTTTCAGGATGCATTTGTTTGTAATGCACTGTGTAACAAAGGAAGTATCTTGTAATGAAAATAATTTCCTTTTGTTTAGATGAAATGGTTGTACGTCATTACCACTTCCTATGTGAAAGCCATCGAAACTCACAGTTGGTGAAACCTTTAGGTTTAGT